AGTAAAGAAAATGAAATGCCATACTGGAAACCCAAAATACAAATTTATTGAATGAAATAAACGATATTAATGCAAGATATACTCCTATGAACACAATGCTAAGAAAGATTTTTACTCCTGGTCAAATTGAAGACCTTTTGGATCTGAAATTAAAAAGAAACGATGAATGCCAGAAGATATAGCATCCGCGATATCCTTACGTAGCGTCAGTCCCAAAGGTTGTCGGTACCTAAGGTCGTGTGGATACCCTTTACCTTTAATGTCTACGCTGCGAAATTGGGCGTCCACATTTTCATTAACTCCATAATGTTTAAAAGATGTCATCACCTTGATGGAAAAGATGTCACCAGATTTACAGACAGTCGACAAATTATGTATAATATCATTCGACGAAATATAGTTAGGTATAATATAGGTTAACACAAAATTTGCTAAACTGTGATAGCACGAGGGTTAACTGGTTATTGGAAACAACCTGTTTTTTTATGAGTTTGATAAACCAATGACGAAAAATATTTTGCAAGACCTAATTCCAAAACTTTACGATGCTGTATTTGTGATTGTTGGTATCGTAAGAGATATGGGCACGGGTAATATGTCATTATGGTCAAATTAGAACATCAGCTATAATAAGAATTAATTATTTCATTAAGCACCTACGGAATGATTTGTTAAAAATATTTTTTTTGCTGATATACCCCATCTTATGAAACTTTAAAGGAATCATTTGTTACATAGTGGGTTTTGGTTAGACGGTACATTGATTGACAAAACTTGTTTAGTGAAATTTCTACAATGGATTTCTCAATAGTGCATAAAATTACGAAATACCATTTTGAATTGAAAGGTTTCCAGCGACAAAAAGTTAGCCCAGCAGTCCAATGACTATCACGCTTTGTTTCTAAAGCAGTTAAATATTGTGGTAAAAATGATTTAATGTCGGTGAATGTGCCTTGGGGAAAGGTTTCAGAATTTATATTATTAATAAATAATTGGTTCTACTTAATTCACGATCAAAATGAACGGGAAATTGACAAACAAAAAATGCTTTTGGGACAAATTTGGAAAACCAGAAACAATGTTTTGACAGATCAAGTATCAAGAATAATTGGTATTATAACTGCAGGAAAACACACATATGTTATCCCATTCCAAAAGGGTATATTGCTAACAAATATATCTTTGGAGCAATTATATGATTCTCTTCGTATCAATTATAAAGTGGATTATATTTTAATATCACGGCTGAACAAGGACGCAATTGAGAACTTTTTCTGTTACGTTAGGGGAATAGGGGCCAGTAATGACCATCCTCATCCCCTAGATTTCATATATCGACTAAGGTGGTACATACTAGGTAAAAACTCAGCAGCTGTATTTACAGAAAATTTAAACACTGAAGAACACAGAGAAGATTGTTTGGTAAAACCACTAGACGAACATGGAGATAATGTAGTGGAAAATATTAATTGCCTACACAAAATATACTGGGAAGCCTAAGACAACATTCTAATAATGTACAAGAAAAAGAAGAAGAGGAAATGTTAATGCCATATACATTTATTGAACCGCAGTATCCTGAATTATCGGTAAGTGATTATTCTAACGATAAAAAATTAACCAAGATGCTTTAAAATATACAGCTGGATACGTTGCCTATAAATTCCAACATAAGTATAATTTAGGATGTAAATCGGATAACATAAGCATTACTGGCATGCCGGGTTGGATACAATTTATTTCAAGAGGTGGTTTATTAAATCCTAATGACGACTTATTTTTTGCTGCACAAATATTGGATCAAGAATTTCATTCAATGCGTGGGTCTTCATTATCACATGACACCAATTTATTTAAAACTTTAACCCTTTCGCTGCGTAAAGCGCACATGCGCGTCCTCCCATTTCTTTGTAAAATGCGTATGGCGCACATGAGCGGCCTATGTATATGGTGATTTCCATATACATTTAAAATTGACTCAGTTTCAGGAGATCAAGAAAACTTTGTCCGCATTTTATTAAAGGTCACTTCTATTCATAGGTGGCGTCGCGGCTCAGTGAATCATGTGGTTAGGTGTGCAAAGCTATTCATAGGTGGCGTCGCAGATCAGTTACCCACATAGTTAGGTTTTCAAAGGTGTTGTCGTTTCAAACTGTTTAGTGTGATTATCAGTTTAATTATTATAATAATGGCCGATTTATATAAAGCTGGACCTTCAGGCGTAAAAAGACAAAAGACCGTGAAAGTGAGAAATGAAAAAAATCTGAGTGTTGAGGAATTGATGCAGTTTTTATATAATTTAGACTAAGATGATGACTCTGATGTAGATAACTGTAAGTAAATACATGTAATAATAAACTTGTGGTCTGAAATTAATATTTTTAGTTTAAATTGAAAATGTTTCTGAAGACTCTTCTGGAAGTGATACTGAGGATGATGTACTACAGAACGAGTTAAATAATACCGTTGCAGATAATCCTGACGTACAGATTACAGACAATGAATGGACTGAAACATCTAGCGGTATGAAACAAATTCCATTTACAAAAAGAAGTGGATTGTTAGTCGATAGTCCTGGTGATAGTGCGTACGATTGGTTTAGGCTGTTGTTTGACGATGAACTTTTAAATATGATTGTCTTACAAACTAACAGTTATGCAGTTGAAGTTATTTCTACCAGCAAAGGATGTGACCGTTCAAGGATTTCCCTATGGAAGGAATTAACAATATCGGAATTGCTAATATTTATTGGATTAACCTTCCATACAGGAACAATCCAATTGCCTAGCATACAAGACTACTGGAAGAAAAATAGATTATTTTCGACTTGTTTTTCTTCATACATGAGTAGAGACCGCTATTTGCTTATAATGCGATTCCTTCATTTTGCCGAAAATGTAAAAGAAAATGAACCAGTTCCAGTAGATCGACTATATAAGGTAAGACCCTTGCTAGATCACTTTAATAACAAAATGAAGAAGGTTTACTATCCAGGGAAGTATTTATCTCTAGACGAATCTATGATCTTGGGGAAGGGAAAACTGGTATTCAAGCAATATCTTCCTAAGAAACGACATAAGTATGGAGTAAAGCTTTATATGCTATGCTAAGTCTCATACAGAAAGAGTGGTACTACACCTAATGCGTAATTTTTTCAACCATGGACATTCGCTTCATATGGACAACTATTACAATAGTTGTAACTTGGCCAAATTACTACTGGATAAAAATAGCTTTTGTACAGGCACTCTGAGAAAAGATAGGAAAGGCTGTCCAAAAAACGTCGTAGACGCAAAGTAAAAAAAAGGCCAGACCAAAAGTATGTACCTCAACAACGTAATGGTTGGAAAATGGCGAGACAAAAGAGATATCATTTACATTTCAACTGAATATAAAAATTAGATGGTAACCGTAAGAAATAGACGAGGGGATGAGAAAATTAAACCACTGCCAATCATTCAATATAATAAATATATGGGCGGAGTAGATGTTCAAGACCAAATGTCTTCTTATTATCCGCCGACACGCAAAACTTTACGTTGGTACAAAAAAATTGGCATACATCTGTTTCAGCTATATTTGCAAAATGCTCATAGATTGTATAATAAGTATCACGGAAATAACAAAATGTCATATTATAAGTTTCGATTGTCAATACTCGAAAAGTTGTTACCAGAAAAATGTCAAGGAACAGCAGTTGTAATCTCAGAAGTGGCAGTTACTTCGGGTCTAAACCACACACCTTCAAAAATCGAGTTACATAATGAACGTGGTAAAACTCTTAGAAAAAAATGTCGGACATGCAATAAAAATAAAATACGTACGGATACTATTTATCATTGTCAAGAATGTCCCGATAAACCTGGCCTCTGCTTAGGAAAATGTTTCAGAGAATATCATGTATCAATATAGAAAAACATTACGAAAAAATTAATATTTTGTATACTTTTATTTTACGTTATTTGTTTATTTTTTTATGTTATTTGTTTATTTTACATCCTGTTTTTATGAATAAAATTTTAGTTTAGATCAAAAAAATCGATTTAATTTACTAAACACAAAAATTTGTATCAAGCGCACAAGTGCGTCCTCCGCATTTTTAAAAGAAATTCCTTGAAAAATGCGTACAGCGCACATGTGCGTCTTGCAAAAATTTGGAAGAAAAATTATAATAATCGGTTTTAATATATGTACAAATAACAATTGTTGAACAAATATCGCATTTAGTGTTAAAAAACTACTGCCGCACTGGTCAGCGATATGTATTTATTTGACGCAGCGAAAGGGTTAACTGCTAGGACCATGGCGAAATTAGAAGAAAATAATTCTATACTGTATAAAGTAGTCTATTGTTTAAGCAGAACACGTACATATATTAGATTAAGACATCTTAATAAAAAAATTAGCTTTGAAAACTGCAAGGGAAAAAAACTGTAACTTTCCTATTTTTTAACTTAACTCTGTAAAATTTTAATATCTGTAATATTGTTTGAGGTTGTAATTTATAATTTTACATATTTGTTTTCTTTTTTTATTCACAACAGATTACAAACTAAATATTTGCAAAAATTATCACATTTGCTTTAATGAAAATCGTCATTTCAGTTCGCGTTTAATCATTCATTTTTTATATATATGTATTTAGTGGAATTATGTAGCTCTTGATACAATTAAATTAGCATTACATTATATTAATTAATAAATTTAACGTCAAACTAGAAATTTAAATGCTTTCTTTATCTTATTTTATGCGTATTAAACCATTATATTATATTTAAGTTGCTTCGCCGTGACGTCAAAGTGTGAGAGTAATAGACTTACTATTCATTCGCTGTCTCTGCGCATGAGCATACCAGTATAAGTGTATTGTGGCCCCATGCGTAAATAACTTAAGTTTTTCAACTTTGTTTCTTATTTGACCCGTTGTGACTGATGTCAGTTTCAGTGTTTGCAACGCTATAAAACATTCTCTGTTATTATTATTTTTTTTTTGCTTTTAGATAGACGTACATTCACCATGCACAAAAGAAAACACGAAAAAGGAAAGTGTGATATTTGCGGCCGTTTAATTAGATCCGACAATATGAAGAAGCATGTATTGATGCATACAGCAGGTCCAACCAAATGTTCTTTATGTGGAGCTACGTGCAAAAATTTTGAGAGTTTAAGATGTCACATCTTTCATTATCACAAACATAATGCTGAACAGTACGTTTGTGAAGAATGTGGTAAAGGTTTTCGAATGAAATATAGATTCTTGTTGCATAAGAAAAAAGCTCATATGGGTCTAAAGAATTTTAAATGCACTACTTGTGGAAAACCTTTCTTTACCAACGGTGCTTTATTAAAACACGTTCGAATGACACACGAAAAACAGAGACCGTATGTCTGTGAATATTGTGGTACTGGCTTTTCATCTAGATATGCTTTAAATACCCATAAAAGGAAACATACCAATGAGAAACCTTTTGTCTGTCAACATTGTTCAGAAGGTTTCAAACAAAGAGTTTCATTACGATCTCATTTGAAATCGAAACATGGGATAGAGGAAGCCAAGGAATTCTTTTGTACAACTTGTGAGAAAGGTTTCGCTACAAGTTACGCTTTGAGTATACATGAAAGGTTACACGAAACTAAGAAGTGTGAAATTTGTTCAGAAAATTTTGTTGGAGATGAATTTTTGACAAACCATCTTAGGGAAATCCATCATATGGAAGTAGAAACGGAACAAGATACTTAAAATCATTTGTAGATATCACGTTAGTTTTGTGGATATCCTTGTTGTTCCAATAAGGATTCTGTTTTAATATTTTTTACTTTCTTATATTATCTATGTTCAGCATCTTCACAAACTTGACGTATCAAAATATTTACAACAAATACAATTTTTTGGTAATATAATAAATTTTCCCAGAGACATATTAAAAATGTTGAACAACGGATTTAAAAATACAAAACAACTTTTTTCATAGCGTCTTACACCGTCTGGTTCCTAGTTTCCATTCTCGTGTGTCGTTCCAATCTATTAATTTCATCAATAATAGTTGTTGATACTTATTTCCTATCCTTCCCTGGTGAAGGGCAGCAGCGATCATCAGTATCAGCTCAAGGCGCAGAGGAAATGATCCTGGATCGGATTGAAACTAGACTGCCACAAGCATGATTGGAGCAGTTTAAATGGTTGTATTACTGCTATCGGGAAGGCAATAAGATAACCATCCCATTATATTTAGACTTAACCACCCGAAATAAACATCTTAGGGATGAGTAAAGTAAGATAGTCTGGTTCAGAAAAACAAGAAACAGAAAATTGATACATCTATTATTCAGGAGGATCCCACCTAGAATATCAATATGGAACGGCTATATTAGTATCGGACAAAATTCCGCAACGTTGAAATTACGAACAACCCATAGAAACCTGAATATTACTCAGGTCTATGTTCCAACAAGTGACAAGCCAGATCAAGAAATAGAAATATTTTATAACAATATAGATGAAATAATGCGACTGACAAAAAGAGGCAGGATAACGATGATCATGGGTGACTTTAACTCCAAAATTGGTCGTGGCGCTGAAGAAGACAACATAGGAGCATACAGTCTAGGTACCAGAAACTATAGAAGAGATAGACTTGCACGATCTGTGTAGAGATCAATATTCTGTTAAAAATCGAACCAGGATCTGTCATTGATATGGATAACGCTCCATATCAGTGCCGGTGCGGCGTGTAGAAAAGTTACCAGCCATTAAATGAAGAAAAGCCCAGATTGCGGATTGGTTACTAAAAAAATATTAAATTCAATGAACCAATTTTGAAAATTGAGTTACTTAACTTAGCACGGTGTCATAAAGATAAATATATTAAATATGTATTTCGATTGCCGCCATACTATCGTGAGTTAAACCTGATAGAACTTATATGGGTTCAAATAAAAAATGGAATAGCAAGGAAAAATATTACTTGTGACCTCACAGTTGTGAGGAGTTAAGACTGCAAATAAATTAAAAATAAAACAGTGCAGTATAATAAGATAAAACTAGTTATATTGTAAAAAGTGTAAATAGTTTTTAATTTTCATGAATAGAAATAAAATTTTGATGAATTTGTTTTTTTTTCTAAGAGTGTACAATAGTAGTAGTAGTAGTAGCAATACTGGGGAGCCATGATCCAACAAATAAGTGACATATTTTGTCCTCGACAAATCCTCATTTCCACTGTACTTATCAGTAATTAAACATTAATTGCCCCAAAGTATAAAAGAAAATAAGATACTGTAACCCAAGAAATTCACTTGATATACAGAAAATGACTGTCTAGTGAACACTGAAGATTTGTTGATTTCATCATCTATGTGGATATTAATTATACTGAATCATTCACAATGTGTATTAAGTATGTTTTGATTTCAAAATTAAAGGAAAGAAATCTCAAATATATATTTAGATTCAAAGCATTTATACTTTTACTAATATATGCTTTATTTAGCAATAATGTTAAAAAAAGACAATAATGGGAATATAGGAGACTGTTGCATGTATGTACTTTAAATACAGTAATCACTGGCGTCAGATAATATCACTCCTATGCGTCACATTTAGTAGAGGCATTTCACAGATATGTACATATATAATCTACTTCGCGTACGGTAACAGCAATTATACAATACTCGTTCTCGTTTTAATGTACATAGTTTTTATACTGAAAAATGTCTTCGCCTGAAAGGAATAGTATGAGTTTGTTAAAAGGAGAAGACATGTAATGAGTTTAGCTGCAGGAGAATCATGTGGAAGTGCCACAAAGAAAAGTGAATGAATCTACTACAAGGACTATTAAAGAGTGAGAAAACCATTCGTTCCAGTGTTTTGTATAGCACTAGTTCAAGCAACAAAGAAACTTCTTTTTCGCGATCCCAAACCTTGGAAAAAGCACTGACCCTTTGGATAGAAGATCAAACAAAAAAAAAAAGGATGCCAATTAGCATATGAATGATAAAAAAAAATACTCTTCGTCTTTACTATAATCTAAAGGTTGACAACGAATCTTCTAGTTTCCAAGCAAGTAACAGATGGTTCGAAAGATTTAAAAAAAGTTTCTTTACATAGCGTCAAAATCGAGGGAGAATCAGCCTCAGCAGACCAAGATGCGGGCAACCAGGATCCAGGACAGATATAAGCCGGAACCAGTTTTTAATGCCGACAAAATGTTTTTTTTTTGACAAGGATGCTTGTACCTTCATATCGGAAAATGAGAAATCTGCACCAGGCTTTAAAGTAGCAAAGGGCAGGTTAACTGTTTTATTTTGTTGTAACGTTTCAGGTGATCATATAGTAAAAACAATACCGATTATGTCTCTAAATCTACAGCCTCTTAAACATAAAAACTAACTACAACTATTTTAGAGGGCAAATAAAAAAGCATGTGTTACGGCAACATTGTTTATGGACTGGTTTACTAACTAGTTTGTACATAGTGTTAAGCAATATTTAACATCAAAATCTCTACCGTTTAAAGTACTTTTATTGTCGACAATGCTCCTAGACATTCAGAATCCCTGAACTTAATTGATTCAAATGTAAGAATTAACTTTTTACCTCTCAACACTCCTTCACTTTTACAGCCTTTGGATCAGGGAATAATAGCTGCTTTTAAATGGTATTACCTAAGGCGCACATTTAGCTGTATCTTCAATTGTATGGATCTAGATCCTTTATTAACTGTTACCGATAGTTGGAGACAATTTAATATTTCTCACTGTGTAACTATTATCAAAGAAGCCACAGATGAAATATGTCCGTCAACTATAAACATATGATGGAAAAAGCTATGGTCAGAAATTGTTATGATAAACTCAACAGTGTCCTATAAAACAAAGGAAGTCAATAATACTATACAACTGATGGACAAAATAAATGGGGAAGGTTTTGAAAATCTGCAGTTAGGTAATGTTAAAGAGTTCTAGGCTCAAATGACTGTGAACTTACAGAACATGAGCTCCTCAAAATACTGAAAAATAATAAAGAAAACAATGAAGACGATAACTCCTAAGAAATAACAGTCAAAACGGCAATCACGTCTCTTACTTTAAGCAACATAAACACTATATTATCGTCTGCTCAAAAACTTACAAGATATGGTTTTTGACATGGATCCTTCTATGGAAAGCAGTTTGAAATTCAAGAATGACATATTAAGCTTATTGGCACCGTACAAATAAGCACAAAATGAAATTAGGAAGAAAATTAAGTAGACAACCATCTTATCATATTTTAAAAAATGAAGTTATTTTATTGTTTCATCATATGAAACACAAAAAAGAAATTAACTTAAAAAAATTCTTATTCAAATTTTATTTCATAAACAATAGTAAAAATTGTAAATGCTGTATGCAGTACTACTACTTTAAACTACACCTGAATTTAATAAAAGTATTTACAATAAGTTTTATTGGTTGGAAGAATGTTTTATTTAAGAAAAAAAGATGTGCAACATTTTATTTAAAACGATGTTAACAATGTTAGTTTTTCATTCAATTGTAATTGAGTCTTAATAAGCTGTGATAAAGTAATGACCATCAAGAGATCTTTAACGTTACTGTTAAACATTTCTGAGAACTGTTCATTGTTCATATGTGGTACAGAATTGACTAAATCTAAAAGAGATCTGCCTACAGCATTGTTTGGTGCTATTCTGTTGGCCAATACATCTTCCACATACTGAAGAACCTGTTCTAGCAGCACACTCATTTTGCTTCCAGCTTCTGATACTTGGTTTAAGTCGAGCATGGGATTGACATTTCTTGATCTAGAAGATCCTGCTACCATTGTTTTTTGGCATAATTGAAGAGCAAATACTTCGGGATCATAACAAACTACATCAACAGGTATTGATGTGAACATACAACCTTGTTTACCATTTGGTACTCCCAAAGGAACACATACATATGCTTTGAGACCCATTCTACCATTTTGAAGACTTGTGTCAACGGTGATATGAACAGGGTTATTACATTCCCTTGAATAATACTCATGGATTACCGCACTGTGGTTAGTAACTTCATGGCCTGTAGCCCACCATCCAACAATTGACTCACTTGAATTTACTCTTCGATTTAAATCATAAACATCCATGGCATAAGATAATTCCGCTTCAACCTGATCATCAGTTTCTTTATGAGGCACGCAAAAGCAGTTTGTAACTTCTACGACTCCTTTGTCTGACGTACCTAAAACAAAGTTATAGTTGAGGTTAAGTCCAACATGTTTAGAGAAATAGAGAAGAGAGCTGTATAAACTGGTTAATTTTTTCAGCTTACCCAATAAGGTACCAATAACTCGATGAGAGTCAGCATTTCTTCGTTCGTATGCATCTACAACTTGAAACAAAACCACCGGATGGACTTTTACTTGCAAGTTTAGTGCCATCTTGATGATGAAAGAACTGATTTTGACACTTGCGCACGAGCACGTTTATTTATATGTCAAATTGTCAAACTTCAGGTTGAGAAACTTTTTTAACACTTAAATCCCTAGAGATTATTTAAATGCCGGATTTTACTTATTTTATTCTCGCATTTATGACTGTATATAAATACTTTTAGAGGATATTTTTTAGATAGAATAGTTTTAGAGAAACCAAAGATTTTACTTTTATATATTTTTTAATGCATTAAGGGCAAGATCTTCGTAAATTTATTAGAATAATGGAGGAGTTTTGCTGTTGATGGCTTCAACCAAAATGGTTTCGCGGCGAGTCGTTAGAGGTGAATATGCGTTGTTTTGGTATATCTATATCCGCAATGCAGGCGTGCCTGTATATTACGAGTTAAAAGTGAGTGCGGCCGAGATATTTCTGGAAAATACATAGCTCAACAACTAGGTGTGTACTGTTGATTTTTTAAAAATGTCTCCATTCCCCTCCCCCGCCGATTTCAAATCAAACTCGTTTGTTTATTGATGGTACCCTCTATCATCATGTAAAATTAGTAATTAATATGTCTGAATAAACACTTAGAACGTATTTAACTGTAATTTTGCCTGTTTCGTATTAAAGGTGACCTTGATTAAGTATTATATTATTTTCAGTCATGAATGTTCTAATTTTGTAGCTCAAAGATTTAATACTTTTTTGAAATTTCCAACAAAGGGTCATGAACCTATGAATGTATTTACCAATAGGATCAAGATTTTATTTAGAAAAGGTTTGTTCTTGCGCAAATTATTACCCATAGATAATTGAAAATGTCTTTGGTTCTTATGTTTTACTTAACCTCCAAACATTAATCAATGGAAAAAAAATAATATAGTGTATGTGGGTGAAGTGTTGTAAAATAATAGGAGCCGAATTGTAGAATTAGATTAAACAAAGTAGAATCCTAAGAATAATTATAAGTATACTTGCTTATTCAATGGTTTGAGGATTATATTCAAATAATTTATGCAAGTAATTTGAGAAGCAAAGAGGAAGAAGCAATGCAACTATTTAGATACAAATAACACACTACAATGTTTTATATGCAGATCATACCTTCACATTAAGTAAAAGGTAGGAATATATAAATATTTGCAACTTTCACTGTATTAGCTATATATTTTGACACAAAATACTTTACATATATAGATAAGGTTCCCAACAATGTTTATAAACTTTATTTGTTATATAATAAGAGAACAGTCCCTTTTAAATCTACTCTATATACTAACTTGGGATATTCATTATCTTATTTGTACTACAATTTTTTTCAATGTAAGTTTTGGTTAATTAAGAATCATTTAAAGAACTCTTTAAAAAAGTTATTTTCTTGTCAATCTAGTTCTAGCTAAACAGTTGGTTTTTTATATCTCTGTTTAATATCAACAGGCAGAATCAATTATGAGAATAACTTTCACTTCATTTAGTGCATATTATCCATATTTTTCATAACCTGATTAAAGTCTCAATAAACAGTTATTATTGCTATATATTCAATTTTCTGCTTGTTAAGTAAAAGAAAATATCTTTATATTTTTATAATGAATAATGATCACCAATAATAATTACTTTTTCTATATCAATTTTTTTATATCAAAGTTACTAAGTGCTTTTAAATTGTTAGCATATTGATCGAGGTTATTACAATAATATTATATTTTGTCTGTTTGTTCAATAGCAAAAACTTCTGCTATGTAAGCATGCATATATTAGTTTTTATAGATAAATCACATTTTCACAATAAACTTGTTTTGGTACTAGTGTAGCAAGAGGGTACAACCTCTACAAACCTGAATTGTATATCAATGAATTCTGCTTCACTTACTGATTATTGTGCAATGATTTTTATTTGGGCTTCATATGTAATTTCTGTTTAAAATACTTGCTTTTTCAGTCATCTTCCTGTTAACTTTTTCTCTACCTTTTTATCAGTCAATTTTGATTCATTCAAAACATTTGTTTAGTTTATAGTCATCATAGTTACTTCCCTTCTATTATTTTTATTGTAGATTCGTGCCATAATTTATGTGATATTGTGCTATTTTTGCTCATTTACTTGTTGTTTCATTTAAAAAATGACTAACTATCTAAATAATCATAATGACATTAACCATAACTACCACCAGACTGATATTGCATTCATGTCCATTGAAATGTAATAAAAACTGGAGTGAAATGCTTTTTTAATTCTCCAATTTTTGGGATGGTATTTTTCTTTCTTTACCTGTGTAATTATTAGGTCTGTAATTTGTTTATTCACATGTAATTCTCCCTCAACTATATTACCCTGGGAAAAGAGAGATATTTCTCCCTATAAAACATGGGGGGTCTGAATTTTCTTTCTTTCTGAACATTAGGTAAAACAAGCTGTAATAATAGGCACAGTTGAATATATTCTCAAAACTCACATTAAAAAAAAGAATAAATTTGTAAAATGCAGTAATATTTTAACCATAATTGCCATTGAGTAATAATTCATAACTGTTATAATCGATAATTAACTCAACAGTAAAAAATCAATATCTTTTGATCAGAATGACCTATCGACAAAACTTAACATGGGTTTTAATGGTGAAGAGTGTAGCTTTAATACTAAAATTTTACATTTTACTGTAAACGAAGTCAGCTTCTATAAAGTTGTTAAATAAATAAAGGGTATGTGATGTTTTATTATTATCATAAGAGCAGTAAAATGTATCACTTCCATTGACTGCATATGGAATTTCCATGGTTAGGGCCTCATTTACAAAACCTATAACTTGAAATTTACGATTTTAAAATTGAATAACAAATATGAGGCATTTGAAATATTCCTAAAAAACTCTATAAGGGTCTATTATCATTAACCACTTTTCCCATTGTAGTTTGATATATCATACATTTAATTTTGTTCTCGTTTCCTGGTGTACTGCTTTTGCTAGATCTAGTTTTTCATTTTTGTTTCTAGTTCTTCATAGATTATGTATTTCCCATATTTATTTTCATGTATATAAAATTTATGTAAATAAAAGTTATGTTGATAGGAGAAAATGAAGAAGAGGAAAAGATAAATAAAAAAATAGAAGAAGTAAATGTAGAACAAGTCCGAACATTCCAATATTTAGAGGTAGAATTAGACGACAATAGAAGACAGGAAGATATTAATAATAGAATTCAAAAAACCATGAATCTATACTATACAATGAACAATAAATTCATAGATAAGACTGATATTAATATGTTGCAAGTCAATATATATTCCTGTATTAACCTTTTGGTTGTGAGTCATGGGTATTAACAGAATGACAAAAGATTCAAATTCAGGCAGTATAAATGAAATATCTGTGATGAGTTCAAGGATTTACCAAAATAGAGACTACAGAACATTTAAATAAGAGAAGATTTGCAAATAGGGTCAACATTAGAATATATAGAAAGAAGATAACTCAGTTGGTGGGACATATTCAGAGAATGGAGAATACAAAACCAGTGAAAAAAATTTGGCAGACAAAAACCCAAAGAAGACATAAGAAAGGTAGACCACAACAAGCATGGGATATAACCCTAGGAAATGTTTTGAAAAAAGGGGAACAACATGGACAGAAAAGGATGTTGGCTGAAAATAAGAAGAAATGGGTAAAATTTGTGCATAATGTAAATATACACTAGAATATAGTTTACAAATAAGATTAAATTTGATATCAATATTTATTTATTTATTTATTTATTTATTTTTTCATATATTTAGGTTGCAAATACCCAAATTTAAAGTTATTTACAAATTTTAACCAATTGTTTTTTATGTACTTTTTATAGTTTTTTAGGTTGTATAGTTTTTATAGTTGAAAATTGGATAGCACTATCAATTGGATTTAATAAACACTGAAACTTTTCATTTTAAATAAAAAAATAGGCCATCATGGAACTTTTACTATATCTGAAATAATGAAACAATTTTTTATAGAAAATATGTCTGAAATAATAATTTATTAAAGAAAATCATTATGGCATAATAAAAACAAAAAATAATTCAGATTATTTATAAAAAACCAGTGAGTTTAAATCAAACCGAACTAAATAACACTGAGATCGCCTAGCTGTGGTGGAGAGAGACAAAGAAATTATTCAATATACACAGTACAATATACACAATGTACGAGGATCATCCAGAAATTAAAGAACGGTCGGGCATCACGCGCGTATTAGATCTCACAACGCCTTAACTTTGTGTGTGCCAGTCAGTGCGAAAGTTGCCCTCATTACCTTTAAAACGCATTTTTATTTTTGTCGATTGACACTGATCAAAAGATATCTAATTTTTAACGTCGAGTTAATTTCAGTTTATGAACAAATTTCATTTAAAAAATTAAAAAATTGATATCACGCGCGTTACTGACATTCAAAATCGCTCTTCGCTTCAAGCATTGTTTCTGAGAGAACGGTTCATTCTACACAAAAGTTAACACTTTTGTCCCCCACTTTTTATGATCCCAAAATTGACATTCTCAACAAAATTCAGTTCGTTCGTATGATTTTTAGTGCTTCTTTAGTCTGACGACTGGAATATATAGATTCGATTGTAAAGTAATTAAAATAACACATTTTTTTTATTGTAGGATCTCCCTCAGAGCTGCTGGTGCTTTACACTTATATTCTTTTGATTATTTCTTGATATTCCTGATTACAATTTGTGATTGTTAGTCCCAAATATTCAAATTGGCCCATTTAATCAGAAACAGTACTTTTGCTCCTCTATGTTAATTTACAAATTATTCTTAATCATTGTTTTTTCCCATCGCTATGTGTTTCGTTTTGGTTTCATTTATTTTTGTCCATATTCTTTTGCTTATCTCTCGAATTTTTTAAATGCTTTCTTTAGCTCTACTTCTGATCTTGTTCATAAGGTTATATATCATCTACATATGTTATAAACTGGTGATTATTAGGATTTATAGTTCCTGTTATTCGTATTTTATCTTACAATACCTATTAATAATACATTTTCCCTCACAAAGAGCAATACAAATACACTTTTGCAAACACTAGAGGACAAAGATCTATATGCTGGATGGACTATATGCTGTCGAATAAAGATTACACCCTCTCAAATTACTCCCTCGTAGGGAAAAAACAAAAAAAAATCGATTTACCAAGAATCTGTGTGTCGTAGAAAAAAATATTTCAAAAATAAAATGTAGCTGAGCTAATTTTGAACAAAAATGTTTATTGCACTTTTTGTGTAAAAGAAACCATTCTCTCAAAAATATCGCTTGAAGCGACGCGGTTACGCGCACGAAATCAGTTTAAATAAATTTTGTATCAATTTGACGGTAAAAATTCGATATCTTTTGATCAGAGTGTCCTATCGACAAAAATCAAAAAGCGTTTAAAGGTGATTAGTGCAGCATTCTTATGCAATTTTTGCATTT